GTCCAGGTGCCAATTGCCCCCCACTTTTCTGCCCCACTCCCATTTCTGAATCTCTAATTATACTTCAAATTAAACAACTACTTTTCCCATCTGAGTGTTACTCAAAATCATTGTTGTGTGGTGAAAAATGCCCTCAAAGACAATGAAACCTTTTGGTAGAGAGCATTTAACAAGCAGAGAGCAGTGATACTGAAGGCAACCTTGTGGAGTCCTTCTGGAGACAAGTAATCTGCTGAGACTCAGAATGCCTTCCTGTCATCTTTAACATTCATCAACCTGAAGCATTAACTCCCATTTATTTCTCATCCTTTTGTTAATGTCAGTATTTTAGTTCCAATAAGAAATGAGGAAAATGTCACAGTAATTCACTTTGAAGAGGACTAGAGTTGTTCATGTTGTTAGGTGGCTGAATTTTTTCAAAATTCAATTTGTCTAACTTTCTGGTCCAGATTTTCTTTAACATGTATTAAAGAAAAAGGCATGGAAGCCTAGATATTCTTTAATGGTTATCTCTTCACTATTTCAAAGAGTAACTTCTGCTATAATTCTTGTTTTAAGGAGTTAATTGTTCATATTGCACATAGAGTGAGCATAGGATATGTTTGTCTTTTTGCATTTAGTTTAGTCCAATTATTATTATAATGTTCTCCAATTTGATCCATGTTATCACAAATGGAAAAACTTAGTTTTGAACGTCCAAATCATATTCATTTGTGTACACACACTACATTTTATCTACATTTTTATTAATTTTGTTGGTACATTTTGGGTATACAATATAATGACATTTATCATTTGAAATTTGTAACTTTATGTAATCTATCTTGGTTCTTATATTTCCACATTCCCTTGCCCTCCTTTAAGTACTTAGTTTTGTTACACATCCTGGCTACTCTGAATAATTACTATAATGAACATGGATCTGCAGTTGTCTCTTCCCATAGATGAATGAACCATGAAGCCCATTGTGTCTATTGGGAGCAAATATTTGAGAAGGTTCAACAAAAAATAAAATGGCTCTCTATTAGATTTCAGAAGGAAGAATTTTTTGCCTAATCTTTTTTCTGGTTATTAGAGTACTTAATATTGGAGAGGGGAACTCTTTTCTTTGATGTTATAGATGCTCATTTGGAAAAGCAGAAATGATATATCAGTCTTCATTGATGTGTGCATTTGTTTCTCCAGGTGACAGACCAAGATCATTTGGCTTTTAAACACTCCATCCCACTCGGGAATTGCAGGATCCTCTTCAGTGCTGTTTTCACATCCTGGTTTCTCAGGGTATAGATGAGTGGGTTGAGCACTGGGGTAATAACACAGTAGAAGAAGGACATGAATTTAGTCTGAGAACTTTTTGCAGGAGGCTGGAAGTACACATATATGGCAGGGCCATAGTACATGGTGACCACCAGCAAGTGGGAACTGCAGGTGCTGAGTGCCTTGTGCCTGCCTTCAGCTGAAGGTAACTTCAGTATAGCTCTAGCAATGAAGATGTAGGAGACAACTACCAACAAGGGAGCCAGCATTCCAAATGGGATGGCTCCAATGGACAGGGCCAACTCATTAGCAGTGGTGTCCCCACAGGCCAGCTTGATGAGAACAGGAACCTCACAGAAGAAGTGGTCCAAGGTGTGAGGTCCACAGAGGGGGAGCTGGAGGGTGGATATGGTTTGTAGCAGGGAATTGGCCAGGCCGCTGGACCAGGAGGCAGCTGCCATCTGCACACACACCCGGGGATGCATGATGAGAGTGTACTGGAGGGGCTGGCAGATGGCCACATAGCGATCAATGGCCATCATGGCCAGTAGGATGCATTCAGCACAGGCAGTCCAGTTGAAAAAGTAGACCTGTGTGATACAGCCCCAGGAAGCAATGGTCTTATCTTGTCCCCAGAGATTGGTCAGAAGCTGGGGCACAATGGTGCAGGTGACACCAATGTCCAGCAGAGAAAGATTGTCCAGGAAGAAGTACATGGGCATCTGAAGTCTGGGGTCCAACAGGGAGAGGAGGATGATGGAGCTGTTCCCCACCAGGGTGAGTACATAGGAGAGCAGAACCATCCCAAAAAGAGGCCTCTCCAGCCATGGAAACTGTGAGAAGCCCAGCAGCAAAAAGGCATTGGGAAAGCTCAGGTTTACTCTTTCCATGGTATCAGTCTCTAATATATGGCTAGAAGGAAAAGGACAGATTTTGACAAATCTAGCTTTTGAATACAACTTTTACATTTTTCCTCTCTTGTTTCATTAGTTTATATTTGCAATACATAAGGTTCATTTGAAGCCACATGATGAAGACAGCCTTGAGCAAGGTACGCCTTCATAAATTGGCTTTTCATAGTAAAAGTCTGAGTCTGCCCATTAGCTCATAATGCCTTGCCTGAAGAACCAGCAGTTGGTGTGTGGGAATAAAGCAACCCCCTACACCACTGATTACAGCAGAAGCGTAAATAATCCTTCATGCTGTGACATCTTGGATGGCAAGATAATACCACAGTTAAGGGCAGTGTGACTTGTGCAGAAAACTCCTATAGAGGCAAAAATTTATACATGGGTAGAAACAAATTTCCCATTAATAAATGATCTGTTCATAGTAGAATATACAGTTTCCTTGTTGCTATGACCCTGCTCAAGTCAGTGCTCTCCATCTCACTGTTTCCTGTTTGGCCCCTTACTTCTTCTGGAAGCTGTATGATTAATAAATATTTACAACCTCCAGGAGATGATGACTTACCCAGATAAGAGCTCTGACTGTCCTGGGCCCCCCAGTTATGCATTAAGATCTTGTCTTGTTTCTTCATTTAAGTCTGCCCACTATACCCTTGTTCAGATGATTATATGTTGAATTAGCCTCCAATAACTGGTGCTGATACAAGGACTGACTGTCTTACCAAGTGAAGACCATCCTCAGTGCATGAGTAGAGAATAGACACATAAAGGTTTGAGGACTTCACAGTACTAAAAGGGGAAAAAATCTGGACAACAGCAGCTTCTCAAGGTTGAGCTCACTGCCATGAAAAGGTGTTACCCTAGGACTAAAACACTGGGCAGAACTAGTTTGTGATGAACAAAGTTACATCAAACTGCTCAGAGATCTCTTAAAGAAAGCAAGAGCTTATGTTCTGGCCAGGAGGCTGTCAAGAATGTTATATAAGTTTAACCCCTTGTTCCTACAGACAGGCATGTTAGACCAAAATCATTGGTAATGAGTAGGGAATAATCTTGGGACAGCTCAAAGCTGTGGAGAAAAAATATGGCGAGGAGACCCTCTCTACATGGGGGATAGTGAGATCAGTTCTTATTGCCTTAGAATCAGTATCTACACCAGAGAAGCCAAAAGTAACAGAAGTTGCGGAGCCTCTGGTCATGACTGATGCACTTTCCTCACAAAATAAGTTCAACAAAGAAGAGAGTACTCCTCAGGAGGAACAACATCCCCCCACCTGCTGCAACCTTCACCAGAACATCCATGACCAAGTTCAGTCAGGAGCACTATGACTAAATATCAATATGCATGGTGGCAGTGGTATCCTGGGAAAAGGCCTTTGCTACAATTATGTGCTTTCCAGTTGGTACAAAGCCAGATCCACTTGATAAGAATAGTGAAATGAATGTTCATACCTCTCTTAATTTTAAAATCCTAAAATATCTTAGACAGAATGTTTCTTATAATAAGATAACATTCCAAGCACAAGGACAACAATTGTGTTATTGCCCTAATGCCACTGGCTATAGACTGCATGCTTCAGGGAGAAAACCAAAGAAATATGGGCTGGCCCCAGACCAAAACAACTCCAGCCTGGTGTTAAATGCCAAAATCAAAAAAGCTACAACCAAATCTTGCCAGGCATAAGACAACTACAAGAAAAAAAT